CTTCTAGGCACCCGTACTTCAGCTCAGAACTGGACTCACACGGCCACAAACCTGCAGGTCAGAAACCATCCAGGTTATTCCTTTTTCATTTTGGCATTTCATAGAATTTGGCTCATGTTTGGATAAACGTTAAGCCGTCTTTTGCTAATTTAGCTTTGGCTAACTTTTAGCATTTTATCAGGATCAGCTCCTTTTTATTGTTTGACATATTTTGAGTTAATTTAGGCTCCTTTAAAATCCTTTATGCTTTGTTTTGTCTCACATTTTTGTTATGGTGGCGCTTTGGCCCAGAGGCAATGTCTCTGTCATTGGTGTGGAACCCCAGGGTTCACCTCCTGGACAAGTTCGAATCCCGGTTAGGGCGGTTAATACCTTCCAGTGGACTCACCACCCGCAGGAAGGTTTGGGGGGTTGGTATGGTGCAATGTGATTTGGGTGGCGACTGCTGCCCCCGCGACCCGGTAACGGATAAGCGGATGAAAATGGATGGATGGATGGATGGATTTTTGTTATGGTTTTTGGCTAATTGTCGCCGGTTGGCTTTTTTTTCCGGCTAACTTCTAGCTATCTTTAGGCTAATTTGCGCTACCTCTGGCTAATATTTGGCTCTTCTTTATGGTTCTGCTGAGTCTTAACATTTCTGATCATTTCTTGGCCTACTTTGCTATTTTTGTAAGTTCTTTCTTCTTGCTCGGTCAGGTATCTGCAGCCTCTCAGAGAGTGAAGCCCCTGACAGGACCACGTCCTGCCAACACCATCTCCCCTCCAGACCTGCAGAGTTCCGTCAGGGTCAGCCGGGCTCGGCTCTGGCCGACGCTCTGGAGGAGTTCTTCCTTCCTGCCGGTCCTCCAGGGATGGAGAGTCTCTACGAGGAGGACGAGGGTTCCCTCCGTGAGATCTCCATGTTTGACAACTGCTCCACCGCGTCCTCCGACTCCTCCATCGACATTGCCTTCGTGAAATGTCCCAAAGGACCCGCGGCATCCCATCATGCAATGGAACCCAATGTGTCGTCAATTGGTAACATCTTCGGTAGTCATGGCAACGGTTACAGCAAACCACCCAAGAGAGGATGTGTGTCACCGGATGAGGCCGCGATGATGCGTCATAATTACAACCGCCCCCTACAGGCCAGCCAGCGTAAGAGCAAGGTGATTTTTTTTATGCTGTAACTTAAAGAAAATGAACCGGTGGTCACTAGTGTTGAGAGTTCATGCTCAGGTCTGCTCTGCCGTCTAGTCCCTGACTGGTCTGCAGATGGAGAACACGGTGAGCGGATCAGACGGCGGACTGCTGTCAGACCACGTCCACAGATCTGGTCTGGGCAGCCACGCCAAACTGGAGCGTCAGGGCAGCAAAGGCAGTAAAGGGTGTCCGACGCCTTCACAGAAGATCCACAGTCCACTGGCACACAGAGCAGAGACGAACAAACAGAGCGAAGATCTTCATGGACCAATCAGAACCGTAGGCTCCCAACCTTATTTCACACCTGTTTCACAATGTTTTTCTAATGTTTAAAATAAAAATCAGGACCTTGTCGTATAATTTCTAAGACATTTTTTTTGTCTTATTGACTCACTTTATAGTTAAGTACAACTTGTATTCATGTAAACGTGTTGAACTCCCCCAGGACTCTGGGATCCAAACGTGGGCAGACGAGTCCAGATGGAGGGTCGGGCCTGAGGAGAACAGTCAGTCAGCCTTCAGTGAGAGGAGTCGAAAACAGGACAAAGGAGGCTTCAGGAGCTCCTTCAAGAAGCTCTTCAAGAAGAAGTGAGGAGCCAAAAATGACAATGACAACATTGTCATTTTTGGCCAACATGCAGAATTAATATAATCTTATCCAGATTGAAAGATAATATTTGTTTTTCTCTCCAACAGGAGCAGTGATGAGAAGAAAGAGAAGAACGGTGAGAAAACTCCTGAAAACCACCACAAAATCATTGAAGCCGAGATTTCATGCAAAAATCCCAAACTGTCTCAGCGGGAGCTGAACCGTGGTACGGCTGTGTGAGCGTCACTGGTTTGGACGTGTCCAACATGACATACCAGTATAAACAATCACTGTGTCATTGAAAAGATATGTATAAACTACAATTACATTTCTGCTGGGTAAAGATAGAACAGACAAATATGTTTTTATTTTGTTTTTTTACATCAGATATGTCAATGTTTTAAGTAATAAACAACATTGAGGCCATCATTTCAGATTTGCTTATTTCGTCTAACTTACGTGTTTTTGACCTGGCACAGAAAATGTTAATAATTTTCTGTAAAAGTGTTAAAAAGGACTCCAAAAGATGAATAAAAATGCACTAATTTGCCTCCAAATATATGTATATGTAGCAATGTGCTTATTTATGATTAAACACTCATGCAAGAATTAATGTGTTTGTAAACATTAAAAATTAATTTAAGCTTAAATTAATTCTGAAAAAAAGTAGCTTATGCTCATAATTTATGTGTAAAGTACTTTTTACTGACTGATTTTTTACTGACGTTACCGTTGACGAGTAGTTTTGTGACTAATTTGTAATTTTTTTAAAACTAGTTTTGGGAATAGGTAATTTTACTCTTACTTAAGTGCATTTTGATTCTTTACTTTTTACTTTGATTTTTTTACTGAAGTGAACGAATCTTGAACGACTAATTTCATTCGTTTTACAGCAGGTGGCGCTGTAACCCTATTGTGGGCGTTGTAAAGAAGGCTGCGGTTCTCCGACACTAAATACTGAAGGCAACATGGTTTGCTTCCTTTGACAAAGTCTACAAAGTGCACAAAATGCCATAAGCAATTAAAACCATGTGAAAACATAAAGAAACAAAAACACACCACAATGTGAAGATGAATGAGAGCAAAAGAGACCCGAGCTCTCTGTCACGTGACAAATGAAACGAATCTGCGAGAACGAAGCGAAAGATTAGTTCACAGGGAGTGATTCGACACATCACTACTCGTTAGGCATAACATTATTACAGCCCAATATTTAAAAAAAAAAACCAATATGAATACTACATATTTCTCACTTACTTTCTTGAAGAGTAAATACTTTATTAGGATATCTCACACACCCCAGAATAGCTATTCAATTTTAGTTACACACAACTACATATATTTTCGTTTGTATAGTCTTCAGGGTCAAAGGAAGTGACATAGACCATAATTTAGGTCAATTTAAGTTATTTTTAGGAGCCAAACATTTGTGAGAGAACAGGAAAAAGTCCATTTAGACAAGTTTGGGCTGAATCTTTGAGAATAAATATGCGGAAGGGAAACCCCGTGCCCGTGTTAGCCCTGGCCACTTAGTGCATTCGCCCCTGCTGTTCCCTGCCGTATTTAAAAGTGAAGTTCCCGGATGTACAGTACCGCCGCACCTCCCCCTTCTCCCCTCCGCCACCGCCCGCCTGTCAAAGCCACCTCCTCCTCTTACTGTCTCCTCCCAGCGGCTCTCCCTCCATTCGCCACTGCAGTGGAAGGAAAAGAAGGAGTAGAAGAAGAAGTAGAAGAATCCTCGGTGACGGTGAGAGAGACGGCGTAAAAAAAAAAAAAAAAAAAACCCAGAGTGAGAGACGGCAGAAGCGGAGCGGAAAAGCCAGGCCGAAACCCCCAGAACACAGCAAGCCCAGCCGTCGTGTCTTCCCCTCGGTTTCTCCAACGCAGGTTTCGGCGGCTCGTCGACTCCCCTTGCTGCTGTACGTCCTCTCATTTCCGTTCACATCGCCTGGATTTCTTCATTCGACCTGCAAGATGGTAAGAAAGCGGCTACTACTGCATTTTTTTTTTACCGCTGGTAAACACAGCAGCAGCGGCAGCAGCAGCAGCGGACGGAGGCCTGCGCCTTCGCCCGTCCATTAATATGGCGATTTGACAGCCGAGCAATGGCTTCGGCTTCGACTGTAACGGTCGACGACACAGAAGGAAATGATTTTTCTTTTGCTCGCCCATCGGTGTTGTTGGCAGCCAGTCGGAGTTTTTTTTCTCTTCTTCTTCTTCTTCTTCTGTGCAGCAGCCCCAGGGCTGACAGTAGCCTAAAGCCCGTGGCCCAGATATTTCTTAGTCGTTCTCAACACACACATATATTAGCAACCCGACCTGTACAGATGACATATGCATACATACATATATACACATATATATATATATGTTCAGTTCTTGCCTCGTTGGGTTTTTTTTCGTAGCATATTTGAACGCACAGCGTAGAACGAAAAAAAAAATGGAACGTCCGCACAACTTGTGTCTCCTCCGCCGCGAACGTAAAATGGAACGCAGTGTGCTCACTGATGCTGTTGACACCTGCAACTGCACCTACAGTATCTGTTTGTCTATCTGTCTTCTCATCTATATGTCTCTCTCTCTGTGTCTTTTTTATGTATCTGTCTGCCTGTCCATGTCAGTGGTTGGTTTCATATTCAGTTGGACCATATGTGGATCTCGACAACAGTGAGAGGGTGATGTTACTGTAGATCGTGTATAAAAAAAGGGCTTGCAGTTTACAATCTAGAGTTGCAAAAAAAACGTTATAAACTCACTGTCAATATTTAATATATAAGAGGTCAAAGTCCTATGCTAAAAAACTCCTTCTGGTTTACTCTCAATATTTAATATATAAGAGGTCAAAATCCTATGCTAAAAAACTCCTTCTGGTTTGTTTGAATATAAGAATCTTGTAAGTGTATATTATCTATATTAAGACAAACGTGAACCAAGTGGAACTGGTGTCTCCGCTTTCTGCACATTCGAAGGCCTGTGAAGCAACTTGTTCTCAGCTGTAGTTGACCATTGTCAACCTTTAAAGTGTACAATGTGTCTGTTTTTCTTACCAATAACTTAGATCTGAAGTAGCGGCTCAACCCGTATCGTTCTGAGGCCAAAAACTGTCTTCTGTTTCCTGCCTTTATCTCTGTCCCTGTGGAGCGAGTCCACTTTATCTCTTCTAGCAATGAAGGCTAAAGGTTACAGCTACATTTTGGATTGAAATTTTTGGTTCCACGTCCCCCCCCCCCCCCCCCCCCCCTACGTGCTGCGGAGCGAGAGAAGGGGCGGCGCCCAGCTCCGGCAGAGCCAAAAGGGAGCATGGCACAAGCGTTCCGATCAATAATGGACGTTCTATAAGCGCCGTTTGACAGTAGCTGACGTTTTCTAATAATCAGTCGTGGGTTTTAAATTTGCATCGTTCCTAATGCAGCATTAGATTAAACAAACAATTTAAACACATGCAGCAAATGGAACAGATTTTTTTTAATTTTTTACCTTGATTAATTTTCTGCTCTTACAGCCAATAGGTCACTCAGAACCTATAATTACTGGTGCACGATAAGAATGATAATTATTTGGTTGTCATGGCTCTGATACTGACATGATACAGTGGCAGGTTTTTAAGGACTATGTGATTTTGATCTTGCACTCTCTCTCTCTCTCTCTCTCTCATATTTTTCTTGACCTTTTGCCATATTAGTAATGGTGTGATTTGAATTAGTCACAAATGAAAACAGATGTAAAACACGTATATCTTTTCTAAAAAAAACAAACAAAGATCACTGCCCGAGTTACAACATATAGTGCATATGTTGTAACTACGGTGGGTTTTTGTACATGCAGGGGAAAAAAAACAAAAACCAGGAAGTACAAATTAGTACCAGCGATGCTTCAATAACAAACACACACACACACAGGTGTCCATTTGCCCTGCAGGATTCTCAGCTCTCAGCCGGAGGGAGCGGGTGGAACCATGGGACATGCACCTCTAAGACCTGTGGTCCGTCAGAACGGAGGTTGGGGGCAGGGATGCGCTGTTGCTTAATCATGTATCGGAATGAGCTGATGCTAAAGGGACCGTAGCAATCAAGCACCACCCACATGAGGATTGAGCTTTTGGCTAATGTAAAAGAGATAAAAGCCCTGAGTGAACCAGCAGCAGCAGCAGCAGAAGTGATCTTGAACACTATGTGATCCACGCTGCACAGCCCACCAGCCCACTCAGTGTGGATTTATTTTCCTCGCTGACCGTTTCACTGCTGCAGCTCTCAGCCCGCAGTGGAGCAGCAGTCCCTGGCACGGACTGAGCCTCCAGTCCGTATTTGTCAGTAACCGTCCAATATCAGACTGAAGTAGTTGTAGTTCATATTATTGACCTTTATTTTAAAGTGGAAAATCAGTCCAATCCATAATTGAGTTGCGTTTGCTTGACAGATGCTGTTTCTACAGCATCATCATCATCTTCAATGTATAATTTGTTCGATTGGGGGGGGGAAAAAACCCATCCTGGTGCAGTTTCTCCTTGAGTGCATTGAATTTGAAAATGATTCATCTGCTGTGAATTCCAGGCATCAAACCATAACCATCTTAGACAAGGCAAGTCTCAGTTGTTTTCCAAACTAATCTGCTATAGGGCAGCCCTAGTGGTTGAATGACCTGGCCTGTAGTTTGAGGATTGCTAATTGCTAATTTGCTGATAGTCTTTTCCCTTAAGGTACAAATGAAGTATTGACAAATGAGGTATTTCCAAAAACCAAATATTATAAAATACTATGCGACTAACCAATTGAAACAAGAGGTGTCACATGATGCAGTCGTGGACTGTATGTAAAAAAAACAAACAACCAAAGTCGAGAGTGCACCTAAAGCAGGTTTATTTCAACGACCATGAACAGAGCTGTTGTCTCGGCCGCAGATCACCTTCATTTATTCACAGGAATATTCTGTCCTAATGTTGAAAACCCAAGGTATCGTTAGCATTTTAGTGTCCAGGGCATTGTGTGGCCTTCCTTTGAAAATCCCTTTGAGTAAAGCCTGAAACTGGGGATAGAAGTTTCCAGAAGGATAATCTCCATAGAGCAGAGTTTCTACAGGCCCCACAGACTTATGTCATTATTTTCAAATTGACACTTGACTCGCAAATCTGAATCAAATCCTTGAAACATGGAGGGAAGTTCACATAGAAATGAATGTTTATGAGTATCCCTACAAAACCACTGCAACGTTTCATGGTACAAAATGAAGAACATGAACGAGGTGAGAAATAGAACCGTGCTCAGAAGGAGAACATTCTGGTCTTGTCCCCGGGCCCGTGTACGTCTTTTCCCAGGATTTCATATCTAGGTCCTGCTGGTCTAAAATTAGTTTGGTCTTTTTTTGGACGGCCTTTTCATGTTCCTGCTAAACCAGCGTCAATGCGGGGCTCTTCATTATGCAAAATGTGTTTTGTGTGCTGAGACCTAATTGATTCTGAATGAAACCTGCATTATTGATGAGCCAACACAAGTCTCTCGTGGCTCTTTCTCCTATTGCCTCCATTTTTTTCTTTCTTTCTTCTGCATATTTATAAAGAATGACTTGAAATGTTTCCATTAGCATCGTTGTAGAGATGCAGCTCAGAGGGAGCGGAGGCAGCAGTCACTCCTGACCCCGAGCTAGGCAAAACCAGTGACCTAAGGCAGGCCTTAGTGAGTAAACCCGTAATCCTCAGCAACAAATCTGCTTTGCTGCGAGGCTTTTTATATCCAGGGACCCTACACTTACTACTGAAGGACAGTCAACCTCAGAAATGATGGTGACACCATGACCAAACTGGACTTGAGTTTGGCTACAGGGAAATGGTGCAAAGGAGAGTAGTCAGTTAGTTATCCTAGCAGAGCAGTCTTTTTTTTTTCTTTGTCATACTTTAGTAATCTCTTAAAATACTTACTGGTTACTTCCATGACTGTAGAGTTTTCTTTATTAAAGAATACGCTCTTGCTGTGTTACGTTCACATGTCATTGGTTACAATAAGCAGTAGTTCATTTATTTTTTCATGTAGAATCTTCTTCAGCTACTGAGCTCTAAATTTTACTGAATAATTTGGGTCACGGCCTATTTGTGGCACATAAATCAGTTCTTCAAGAAGAGTGGAATGCCGGGAGGTTATTGATCCTCACCATCTAGTTTTTTTTAATGACTTATTTAGGAAGAAGAAAGGTGTGACTAACAGTGTGTCTCAAATTGCAGCATTGCGAGGATGACTTCAGGAAGCTGTTCTTGAACGTAACTGGTTCAAGAACTTGAACCCAAACTC